AACAAAAACAGACAAAAAAAAAAAAAAAAAAAAAAAAAAAAAATCCAAAGAGGCTGGAGAGGTGGCTCAGTAGTAAAGAGCACTGGCTGTCCTTGCAGGAGGACCTGAGTTTATAACTCTGGCTACACACGTGCACAGATAGGCATGCAGGTGAAGCACTCAGCCTTAGGGTTACTGTGCTGTGATAAAATACTAGAAGCACCTTGGGGAAGAAAAGGTGGATGCAGGAACTGATGAGAGGCCACAAGGGAATACTGCTTAGTGCCTTGCTCAGCTTCATAGCCTCCAGGACCACAAGCCCAGGGGAGCCACCGCACACAATGTGCTGAACTGGGCCTCCTGCATCAGTCATTAAGAAAATGCAACACTAGCTAGGTGGTGGTGGCACTCGCCTTTGGTCCCGGCACTCCAGAGCTGGCATATCTCTTGAGTTTGAGGCCAGCCTGGTCTATAGAGCTAGTTTCAGTACAGCCAGGGCTACACAGAGACACCCTGTCTCAACCAAGTTGAAGTTGCTGTGACACACACCCGTGGTTCTCAACATGTGGATTGCGACCCCTTTAGGGGTCAAACAACCCTTTCACAGGGGTTGCATCAGATATTTTCAATTTTTGTTTTTGAGACTGGGTTCTCTAGCTTTGCAGCCTGTCCCAGAACTCACTTTGTAGACCAGGTTGGCCTCAAACTCGCAGAGATTCACCTGCCTCTGCCTCCCAAGTACTGGGATTAAAGGCGTGTGCCACCACCTGGCAGGTATTCACAACAGTAGCAGCGAGCATAATTCTATGGTTGGAGTCTCCACAACGTGAGAAACTGTATTAAAGGGTCAGAGCATCAGGAAGGTTGAGAACCACTGGCTTAGACTGAGGTAGGAAGATCTGGAGTTTGATACCAGCCTGGACTTCATAGCAGGGCTGTCTCAACAGTAAAAGATGAATAATGGCAAATAGATGTGGAAATGTAATAGAACATTCTGGAAGGTGAAGTGATAGAGTTTGCTCTATAACCCACATTGGCCTTGAACTCATGGCAATCCTCTTGCCTCAGCTTCCCAAGTTCAGGAATATAGGTGTGGCCACCACGCCTGAGCATCTTAAAGGATGTATGGCCCTCCCAACTCCGCCCCCTGGAAAGACACAAGTTAATTGTATACAACAAGTAGTTTTGGGGGGATTCCACGTTGCAGGTGTGTTCTTCCGTACTGTACAAAAATGAACAGAATGGGGTGGGCAGGGTAGGTTTAAATGTTTACGTTTGCAGGAACGACTAGGTTCTTGAGAGAAACAGCCAAGGACACAGTATGTAAGGGCGCAGGTGAGGCTGTGTAGATAGTGGCGTCAATTTCATCTGGCTTTCGGGTGTTCATCCAATAGCTTTCCCTCAACATGTTAGTGTAGACACTGCCTGCCTGTCACAGCTCACTGACCCTCGTATGGGGATGAAAAGCCCAGGAAAACGATCCCCTAATGCTGGTCCAGCTGGAGATAGAAGGAAGATTCCCTGGCCAGTCAGGAAGAAGAATTTAATGCATGTAAATCAGTCTACACAGCCAGGTAGCAGAGGCCCCTCTGCGGCACAGTGTAGGAGGCCTGAGAAGACCTGCCTAAAAAAAATGGTTACTGTCACCTCCCTCTGGGGCTGGGAAGTCAGTTATGCAAATGTCATCCTGAGAACCCCACGTTATAAACTAGTTGTGTGAAAGTTCATTCCCTGGTTTTGGCCTGAACCCAGCAGGACAAAGTTGAGTTCTCCGCTCTGAATGCCAGGCCCTCTTCAGTCCTCTCCTGGAATAGTCTCAGGCTCCAGTGGAGAAGCAGAGTTAGGGTATGTATGTGATACTAGCAGCTTTTTAGCCTTCCAAAACTTTATGATGGATGGGGGTAACTGAGAGACACTTGAGTTGGCCCAAGTCAACTTGAGGACACCCACCCCACCCCCTTCCCGATCAAGCTGAGCAAAGACTGGAAGGTTCGCTGGAGATGGCTCTGTAGATTGAACTCATGTGAGTGAGCCTGGTAACAAAGCTGGATAATCTTGTCAGTCAACCCCTGCCTAGATCATAATTGCAAGGTCACTGGGAGAGAAGGGAAGAGTGGCTGGGGAGAGCACCCAGGCCCTTGGAAACCGCTCAGCAAGAGCTGTGTTGCTGAGTCCTCAGCCAGAAAAGGAATGTATTTGGTGGGCTTGTCCGAAATGCCTTAAGTCACTGGGCTCTCCAGGAGAAGCACTTTCCAGGGAACCTCTTTGGGGATCATGTGAGCTCCGCTAACAGTTTGGGAATGAGGCTAGGCTACTGCGCTAGCCCTGGGCTTCGCTCTCCCTTCCCAGCTGTGTGCTTGAGTGCAGGTCTCCACTGCAGCTCAAGAGGACAAGAGTTAAAGTTTGCTTCCTGCCACAAAGCCCGTTGGAGAACTGTCACCCCCAGAAACCCAGTGTATGTTGACTTTTCCTAACTGGAAAATAAGCCCATAAGTGAAGTAGCCCAGGCAGGGTATCAGGTGACCAGGAGTGGCCGGAACCCCCTGTACTGACTCTGTGCTCCTCATTGGCTTCACAGCATAGCACAGCCATGGGGACAGAATTCGGAACCCTATACTACTGTCCCCCTTCGTCTGAGCACAGTGCTGCCATGTGGCTTCTGCTCACTTGTCTGCTGCCAGTTCCAGTTGTCCTGGACCTTTGGCCCACATGTCTCAGAACACCCTGTGACTGCAGCATGGGCTGGCTTCCTCTGTTCTGCTCAGCCTTCTCCCGAACCAGCCAATTTCGAATAAGGCAGCCTTGTTTTTTAATCCTCATGTCCCCCAAAAAATTAGGAATATTTTATGAGCAGGACACGATTGCAGAGGGTCCCCTAAAACCATGTTGGGGAGGGCTGCGAGACCATCTCTGGGTGTCTTTCCCTCGCTCGCTCGCTCCCTTTGGGCTTTAGCTGGCTCTTGTTTAAGTCCCTAGGAATTTGGAAGTAAAGTGAGCTGTGGGGTTGAGGGGTGGACCAGTTCCCAGGGAGTGCAGCTCCAGGCGTGGCTGCAGTTTCATTTTCCTCCCTGCAAGGGTCAGCCTGGCCATTCAGGGCCTTGAAGGTTAAATGCTCTGGGGGATATTTTTAAACACTAGGGGCTGGTTAATCTAAAAGTGACCTTTACAGACACAGCGGTGAGCTGCCAGCAGCTTAGATCCCGGCCTCAGCCAACAAGGAGCTTGAAAAATGTCACTGCGAATTCACAGCTGGGAAGCTATGGGGAAGGCTAGGCCAAGATGGTAACGCAGTAAGTGAGCCCTCCCCTCCCCAGGGTCACGGACCTCAAAGCCAGTCAGCCTCCAAGGATGGTGCGTGTGGTATGCGCGTGCACAGCGTAGTGTTGGCCCCAGACAAAAGCAGCCACTTGGGGTTTAGGGGACACTGAGGGAGCTGGTGAACAGCTTGTTATAAGGGTTCTATACTCTCATGCAGTACATGCCTCTTTCCCATGCTGCTGCGTTACAATTATTTTACAATATAAACGGCCTTACATATAGGTGGGTAGTCATCTCAACTGCTCCAGGACAGGGTGATTCCAGAGACTCAGCGTTGTCTTTTGTTGTGTCTTTGGTTGGTGTTTGTTTTTCCAGGACGTCCTGGAACTTGCTGAGTCATCCAGACTGGGCCTGGAACTCACTGCAGCCCCCTTGCTTCTCCAGTCTTCAGTGGAGTCCTAAGTGCAGGCCTGGCACCTGCTTTGTCCGTGACTTCCACCAGAAGCCCTGGGAAGGCGTTGTGGGTGTGTTTGTCCCTGTGTAGGAGCTGCACAAACCACCTCGTGTATTTATCGTGTTTCCATCCCATGCAGAAGTGACAATGTCGTGCAGGGATATGGGCATATTAGTATTTTGACATGGAGGCGGTCTCCAGATCTTCCTCTAATAGAATCTTGGCTATCCTTTGTTCTAACGCCGTCTCTGAATTATGAGTCAGGAATTTTACTTCCAAGTTGGGCCCATGTGTCCCTCGTGGAGTGTGGGAGCAGCAGCCAGGAAGGACACGCCTTTCGTGTTCTGTTGTCTTCGGCTGTTGCACTGACTGACTTACTGTGGCAGGAGTGGGGTGAGGTGGGGAGATGGTTCCCGGTGGCCGGCTTGTGCCCCTGGATTCTAGGAACCCAGGGCTGCTGTCAGGGAACCCAGCAGAGCACTCCAGGAAGCTGAGGGACTGATCGCTGTGGCAAAATGAGCAGGGTGCTCAGGGGAAGCCACGGGTGTGATTTATTCCAGTCCCCAGGTCTGAATGCCAAGCCATGATGGCTCAGGTCATTCGAGTGGTAGATGATAAAGGTCTCACCCAGGGCCCCCCTGCTTCTGCCCTGCTCTGTAGCCTCTTAGCCACTCATGCCTGTGCCTGGTCTGTGGGAGCAGCCATTCTCTAGGAAAGGCCTCTTTAGTTTGCTCAAGGGTGGCATCAGTCGTTTTTCTCTTCCTTGAATATTTTTTTCACATTTATGTATTTGTGCCAGATGTGGAGCATATGGGGGTCAGTTGGGTCTCCCCTCCCACCATGATGATGTGGGGTCATTGGGTTTGGCAGCAGCAAGTGCCATTCTTTACCTGCTGAGCAATCCCATTGGCCCTCACTCAATCTTGTAAAGTGAAAATAATTCCCGATTAAGAGTGGTACTGAAGGTATAATTCTGAGCTCTTTTCTGTAAACTTCAGTACTTAGGATTGTCCAGTGTAGGAATTGTCATCACCTGACTGGAAGTTCTTCCTTACTCTTGTGAGGGAAGATTGGTCTCATGTTTACCCTTTCATTGGGGTGGGGCAGTGGGTGAGCAAGGTGGAGCCAGGCTGTGGACCAGTCTGGGACCCACATTGTCCCTAGGAGCACAGAGCCTTGGAGGCAGGACCGCAGAGTCCTGTCACTGTGGGGCACCCTCAGGAACCCTGCATGGCGCAGCTTGGCAGAGGTGAGGACACTCTGCAGGGGAGACGGGTGAGGCACAGGTGGGAGCTGGGGCCTTGACGGCAAGCTGTGCTGTTGCTCACCTAGCTCAGTCCCCGCTCTCCTACCTCCTGGGGACATTGCTACCCATGCAGATCCATGATCTGATACCGTAGTTCCTCTGTATTCCAAAAGAAATTAGAAAGCAGAAACCAATAAAGGAAATAGATATATTTACCATTTGGCAGACTAGTGAGAGAAAGCAGCCATTTTCCAGTGGGCGTGTGCCAGCTTTGCAGCTGGCAGAAGTTAGAAGGATCCATTGATTTTGCTGTGATGCTGCAGCCTGTTCTTCCCTGGGGGGTGGGGGAGGGCGCCTGGGCCTCATCCAGTGTCCTCCAGCACCAGGACATGAGTCAGAGTTCCTGTGGCTGTTTAGGGAGAATAAGCAGCTAGTAAAGTCGCAGTCCGCACTCCGTGCCATCGGCAGGCCTCGGTCGCATCTTGAGTATCTGCTCCGTCCCTCGGAGTTCACTGGATTTGCCACCTGCAAAAGGATTTATTTTCAAAGTTGCATTTCAAGTATCTTGGTAGAAAAGGACTGGGCAGAGGCCGTCAGCCATGAGTTCTGTAGTGAAGAAGCATGCCCAGGTTTGAGCCTTGTCTGGTCTCACGGAGCTTACCTTCCAGTCGGGAGATCCATATACCCAGAACGGTGGCCCACAGCACTGCCACCCGGGATCAGGCAGGCAGGCAGGCCTGACAGCCTGATCTTCATCCCCAGAAGTCCCAGAGAGAGGAGAGAAGTAACTCCTTAAGGGGGCCTGATCTTCTCATGCGTGCCACACACACACACACACATGTGCGTGTCACACACAGAAATGGTTTTGAAAGTCTATTTTCAGAATAATGGGTCCTGGGGAACCATCTGCACTTTGTTTTGCATGACGCTGTGACGTCCTGGTCTCTGGAACGATGGGTTGCGTTTTGACCCTCTGCTGGCATGGAAAGCTCTGGAGCCTCCTTGGTTTTACTCAGGACAAGATTTAGCTTTACCATGTACATTTCTTCCAAGTAGGGAAGGTCTTAGTATCTTAGGTACTGGCATACCTGTGAATTTCTTCTGAGGTTGCTTGTGTTTGAGACGGGGCCTAACTGTGTAACTCAGGCTGGCCTCTTGGAGTTTCCTCCTGCTTCCTCCTCTGGAGTGCTTGCGATTACTACCACACCCAGTTGTCTGTGACTCCATTACGAGATGTTTTTGGCTCCTCTGTGCACAATGGATCAGACTGGAAACAGGGAGATGGGCTACAGGCTTGTGCAATGGCCCTAGGGCTCATGGCTGCTTGAACTTAATCTTAGATTATTTGCTTAGCCTGGTGCCTGGAAGGCCGGTGAGCACAGTTAGTGTCAGCCAGCTTTCCTGCCATCTGCCTTCCTCGTGTGCACGAGAAAAGCAAGACTTAGGAGCTTGGCGAGAGCAAAGGGTTGCGCAGGAATGGAGAAACCCTTGCGCCCTTCAGGCCGTGAGCCTCCGGAGGGCTCTTGGAGTGTTTGTTTGTTTGTTTGTTTTATTTTTTTTAAGATTTATTTATTTATTTATTTATTTATTTATTTATTTATTTATTTTATATACAGCATTCTGCCTCCATGTTTGCCTGCACGCCAGTAGAGGGCACCAAATCTCATTACAGATGGTTGTGAGCCACCATGTGGTTGCTAGAAATTGAACTCAGGACCTCTGGAAGAGCAGCCAGTGCTCTTAACCTCTGAGCCATCTCTCCAGCCCCTGTTTGTTTTATTTTTATTTATTGATTTGAGGCACTCTGGGTGGCCCAGGCTGGACTCAGGCTTGTCTGTAGCAGAGGCTGGCAGTGGGCTCCTGCTCTTGCCTCCTCTACATGCAATGGCTGTGATTATAGGCATGTGCACCGTGCCTGCTGGCTTCTTTTTTTTTTAATGCTTTCATTAAACAAATTAGGGAGGCACCCACGCCACAGTGTGTGCGTGTGTAGGTCAGAAGATGACCCGGGAAAGCTAGTTCTCTCCTTACACCATGAGGGTTCCAAGGATGGAACTCAGATCTGTCAGGCGTGGCAATCCCTATTTTATCTGCTAAACCATTTAAACCATTTCATCAGTCCCGGTTTTTGTATTTTTGACAACAGCCCCTGCTCCCTCAGTGAGGCCACCCTGCTCCCACTTGGTGAGGATAAAGAGAGGTTCCAGCTTGGAATTCCGGGGCCTGGATCCCACTTCGTACTTGTACCTAGAATTTCCACATCACTGATCTTGCGGAGCTGAAGAGGCCTTAGGAGCTGCTCTCAATGCGCTTTGACCCACACCACCTCGCAGCCCTCCCCAGCCCCATTGCCATCCTCACGACAGCTAGGTCAGCGCAGGAAGGCCGCAGCATGAGTGTGCAACAGATAGTCAGTGTTGAATCTGCCTGGCCGGCAGGCGCAGAGCTCTGACCCCAGGAGGCGAATCTAGAGCGACTTTCGGTTTTGCATCTGGAAATGGCAAGCTGGGGCGCACACGGTTCCTTCCCAGGGAGGCCATTCGCCTGGGGCTCAGTTCCCACCAACACTGCCACCTCAGTTTCTGAGGCTGGTGGGAAAGCCCCTTCTGGCGTCTGAAGGTTACTCCACTAAACCAGGCCATGTGTTGTAATAGTCCAGCCCCAGGAGCTGCTTGGGGGAGGCCTCACTTGGTAGAAGAGATGTTCCAGCTGATACCAGGTGAAGCAAAGGGTGAGATTTCCCCGGGGCAGCCAGCACTACTTGAGGAGCAGCGTGAACGAGCAAAGTGCGGCTATCATGGCGGTCACCGTGGTTGTGAAGTCAGGCTAAGCAGTTCACCATGGTGCGCTCCATCACCCAGCAGGCTGGTGGGGTTGCTCCTGTCATTGTCCCTGTTTTGCAGATGGGGAAGTTAAGGCTCCCATTAACTCTCTTACAGCTTGAAGTTCAGATGGGCTCTCCTGGCACTAACTGGGCACCTGTCGTATGCTGGGCACTGTGCTTATGCCTTTCCAAGCCAGCACTCCCAGAGTGCCCTGTCGTGTAATCACCTGAGATGTTTATATCAAGACGCACCGGCTTTTCTCAGGTGTGTTTTCCACTCTGAAGTTCCCATACCTCCAACGCTGTGCATGCCCCATGCCCCAGCGCCTAGTGGACTTTGGCACCAGCCATGTACCTGCCAATTACCTGCTTGTTCTCGGCCTGGCAGCTGGGCTTCTCTGGAGCCCCATTCTCTGGCATGTGATAAGTTTGGGAACTACTGACTGACTGATGGGACCTTGCCTCCTGGCTACTTCTTTTTCTGCTGCTTGTGGACTGTTTCCCTTTGAGGACATGGACAAGGCCCCCACCCTAAAGGCCACGCTGGCCTCAAGCATGCTGCAATCTTCGTGGCTCTGCCACACCTGAAGCATCATCCTCAGCTTCTCCTTAGCCAGCTGAGGGACTGAATAATCCATAGCCTGCTCCCTCTACATGTTAAGTCGTCCCTGTGCCTTGGAGCTGTGTGACTACAGGCGGCTGCGGTTAGCAGGGGCTTCCAGGGGCCAGAGAGACAGCTCAGCACGCGCTGCTCTTGAGAGGAGTTTGGTCCCAGCGCCCCACGTCAGGCAGCAGGCAGCTCCCTGGAACTTCAGCTCCGGGAGCCTCATGTCCTCTTCTGGTCTTCACAGGCAAAGGCATTTATGTGCATAAACTCATGCATAGCCAGACATACACAGAACAAAAATAAATTATCTCAAAAAAAAAAAAAAACAACCCACCCCAGCTTTTTGAGGTAGGTGTGATGGTGCATGCCTGTAATCTCAGTGCGTGGGAGGCTGGGGAAGGAGCCTGGCTGCCTTCAAAGCTGGCCTGGTCATGCTGCCAGGCACTGTCCTCCCCCCGCCCCCCCAAAAATAAAACTAAAACCAGGAAAGTCCACACACGGTAGCTCATACTTTTAATTCCAGTACACAGCAGCAGAGATAGGCAGATCTCTGTGAGTTCAAAACTCGCCTGTTGTATACCAAGTTCTGGGCTCCATAATGAAATACTATCTCAAAAAAAAAAAAAAAAAAGCTTTCCTTTATTTGAACAGAACACTCCTGTCTCCCTAAAGCCCTTTCCAGGAAAGCCTGAACTGTGGGACTCTGTTCTGTGTCTGTCTCTGAGGTAACAGAACAGATGAAAGTAACCCACAGCTCTAGGAAGCCACAGTACGCCCCGCAGGACTTCCTTCTGAAATGAGATGGCCTATTTCTTAATTGCATCTGTTTAGTTTTTGTGTATATGTGTATACATGTGGTCTGACAGCCACACGCCATTTCATGGATGTGGTGGTCCCCACAACAGCTTGTGACAGTTGTTTCCTTTTGAAGTGTGGGTCTTCGGGTTTGGCAGCATGCACCTCCGCAGGCCGGGCCACCTTTCCAGCCTTGAGATGTTCGTAGCTTTGCTGTGTACCCAGGCTGCCCTCTTCCCTTTCCTGCTCGGGCCCTGAGATTGCAGCCAACAGCACACCTGATCAGACAGTACTTCCTGCTCTCATGACCTGGGCCTTCCTTAGGGTTCAGGAGGAGAGCACCCCACCTGTGAATCAGAATGAGGGCTGGGTACTCAGACTCTTGAGTGGGGCCACCAAGGGCCAGAGGGATTGGCCAGGCCTCAGTTTTCTCTTCCATAGGAGGGAACCAGGAAATGGTGGCTTTTGTAGAGCAGAGAGGCACAGGAGATGAGGCCATGCGGGAAGCCTCACCTGTGGCTGTCCGCCCTGCCCAGTGGCCTTAGATGTGCAAGTTAACTCTGCCACACAGGGAATTGCTGCTCCCTACCACACTCCCTGGCATTCTCAGTTTCATTGTCCCCGTGGATTGTGTTTCTGACCCTTCTCTCTCCCAGTAGCCTGCAAAGTGGTCTGGATCTCAGCAGCCCCCATCCCCGGGCCAGGGAGCAGGTGGAATGTTGGTGCAGCTTAGGGCCCAGAACCTCCTCACTTTGGAAAAAGCACCCGGGTTGTGTTGCCCCCAGCAGCTCATTGCTGGCAGCTCAGACATCTCAAGAGTCCTGGGGTGCCTGATGTGAGGGTCTTCCTGTCTGGGCTGGCCCACCTCTTATGAATGGCCTTCTGCCTGAGTAGAACAGGAAGGTGCCCGTGAACCCACCTTAAGCCTGTTTCTTTCCGTTCATTGAGTGGGGTGCTCCAAGTCAAAGCTGTCGGCCTTGTTCAGCCTGGGAGAGCCACTGGGATCACATAGAATGATTAAACAGGCTTTGTCCGTTCTCACAGCAATCCTGCGAGGTGGCTTTTCTAGATGCGGGACACTGGTTCAGAATAAGGTCAAAATCTGGCCAGGACGATGCCCTCCGAGTGCCAGGGTGTCATACTCTGCCCAGGCTCTCTGAGTGCAGATGGCATGTGGCCCATGCGTGACATTGGGCTTCTGTTTATTCGGGTACAAGGCAAACTGGACACCATGTCATCTTACATCAGGTTGCAGATGGGGATAGGCTTTGGAGAAATACTGTGGCCTGTGATACCCTTGTCCCCACAGACAGGGGTACAGATCAACCATCCCCAGGGGCAGTGTTTCGTATCCTAGTAACTACGGTTGGCTTTATGCCATTCTCCTGGCAGCTGGGAAGTCCTTGGCCACCCACTTCCTATCCTGAGACGTTTTCCACAGTGTCCAGTGTGGCCCATCAAAAAAAAAAATGCTGAGCCTCCCCCTCCTCTCCAGGCAGTTGTCGGAGGGCCGAGGACAAGGCACCACCTGTCCTGGCTGTGGGAGCATTTAAAATAGACTCCAGAGACCCAGGCTGAGAACCAGGCTTAGGCAAGGAGAAAGATTGCGTGAACGCAAAGTAGGCTTAAGTACAGGAGTGTGGCAAGCCAAGGGGAGGTGGTCCTCTGTGCTGGCAAGCCCAGGTCACGGAGAGAGGCAGGTGAGGACCGTGAAGACCGTGCCAGGGCCAGAGCTGTGGTGACAGGTAAGGGTGTGCTGACGTGCTGCAGGGACTTCCAACCCCACTCTGCCCTGGGGCGCGGGCCAAGCCCCTCCCCTGTGGCCTGATACAGCACACCACAGCCTCCTACTGAAAGGTGATACTTTGGAGGCTGGGTTCCCTTAGTCACCCTGTGGGCACTTGTGAGACTAGATGAGAATGGAGCTGGTGGCCGTGTCCCCAGTGTCGGTAAGTAGCCCTAACCACTCGGGAGCTAAACTGGGTGGGAGGAAAAGTCCAAGTATAGATGGGGGCTACGGGACACTGACATGCTGTCCCTCCAAGACTGTGCAGAGACAGGGTGAATGTGTTGGGTTTTTTTCTTTTTGGGGGGTGGTGGTGGTGGACAGCAAGCATACCCTCCACCTGCTGCGCTGTGGTGCTGGCTGCTGGCCAGCACTTGCTGGAGCCCAGAGCTTCCTGCATCCATCACGGGAGGCTTGTGGCTTGGGCACCAGACTGCTGTTACTTAGGTTTGAATTGCAAGAAATAAAAATAAGCTTAGGGGTGTGGCTTAGAGATTGAGCATTTGTCTCACTCAGGTGAGGTCCTGGGTTCTAGTCTAGCCCTGGGGAGAAAAGAAACTAAGTAAAACCTTTGACAAGCATCCAGTTTGGGGGTCAGCTGTGTCAGTTCACGGGAAGGCAACCACTTGGGGGACAGATGCCTACTCGGGGCCCTCCTTCCGTCCCTGTTGTCCACTTTAGACCCTGAGCTTTGAAAACTCAGATCACTTCCCACTGGCAACCGTTAGCTGAGACTTTGGTCTGCCATCCCTTCTTAAAGGCACACGACCAACATAACTTGGAGTGCCCTGGGACGTATGGTAATTATTTGTATCTGTGTGTTGAGAGGGGGACGTGTGGGTGACAGGCCAGAGTTTGAGATAGGTTGAGAGACTGAGCTGCTCTGAGCCTCAGGTGTCCAGACTCTAAAGTGGAAGTCAGGTAAGGGCAGGCTCATGCAAACGCAAGGCTCTGGGAATGGAGGGATGGACGGAGGAGCCTTGAAGGCCCTCAGCAGGCACACTTGTGTGTAAACTGAGTGTGTGCGGACATGCCGTTCTGAGAGCAACTCCCGAGCAAGGGGGAAGCTCTGTGTTTTGTAGGGGGAGAGGGACAGGCCCAGAGGGAGTCTTGGCAGCTTTATAGAACAGTTCCCCACTTGCACTCACTCCTGTTCCTGTGACCTCTGGGCCCTATGCTATGATAAACAAACAAGGAAGGAAGGAAAATGGACACTGCATACTTTTAATCCTAGCATTTGGGAGGCAGAGTCAGATGGATCCCTGTGAGTTTGAGATCATCCTGGTCTACACAGTGTGAGTTCCAGGACAGCCAGGGCTATATAGTAAGACTGTGTCTTTAAATAAATACATAAGGAAAAAACCCTAAAGGTTTCTACATGGTAACTTTGGCCAAGCTTGGTGTTAGAATCACGGCTCCCCATCAGAGTAAGACTGACAAGGAGTGAGAGGAGGCAGTCCTGGGAAGCGCTGCCTTTTCTCTTCATCAGAGTTTCCAGGTCTGAGTGTGGTCCACTTGCTGCGCACTCAGCGAGACCGTCACCAGCCACCGCTGTGTCTGCCTGCCTAGGTTTGTTTTCCATGGTAACAAAGTACCTGATGCTTGATACTATTTTTTTTTTAAAGAAAGTTTATTTAACTCAAAGTTCTGGAGGTCTAAGAACATGCTTAGCTTCTGTTTGGCTCTGGGTTAGGGCCTTCTGGTGACTTCCCAGTGTGGCAGATGGCATCCTGATGGTACACATGAATATGGTGAGACCGGAGAACTGAGGGATTTTTATGGCATCTCATCCCCACAAAGCCCTAAGGCACCTGGAGGCCAGCACCAGTCCTTTCTGTAGTCTGTGTCTCCATGATGGATTAGCTTGCCCTGGCTGCACGTCTTAAAGGTCCTGTCCTCACCAACATCATTCCTGCTGCGCACAAGCTCCCCAGCACATGGCCCTTTAGGGGCACAGCATAGCCATAGTCCCAGCCACTGTCTGTTGCACGTTGGAAATGCAACAAGCGTTTCCTAAGCAGGTTCCATGGAGTTTGCATTCCCAGTGGGAGTGAGCACAGAGTGTGTCATCAGATCACCAGAGGTCGCTCCATCCGGGTGTTTTTCTTTCCATCATGCTATTCCCTCAGCAACAATTGAAATGCTTTTCACACACTTGCTCGCTCTTTCTTTCTTTCTTTCTTTCTTTCTTTCTTTCTTTCTTTCTTTCTTTCTTTCTTTTTTTTCGAGACAGGGTTTCTCTGTGGCTTTGGAGCCTGTCCTTTATTTCTAACAACACTATTTCATATGTCCACGTGTGGAACTTGCCTGTGTCAGGGTCTCTCCCTGGCTCCCCACTCCCTCTGCCACCTCCTGTGGCGGTGACATCAGCTTGTGTCCTTTGCTCATTTTCTTTGCTGCAGGTGCGCTTGCAGGAACCAGGCCTCTAAAGTGCAGAAGTCTAGCTCAGTTCATGCCATTGCTTGGCGCTCAGTGTGTGCATAAGTTTACTTATCCAGTGCCATTATTAAACGCCAACACATGCTTAGTACCATGCCAGGCATAATGATCTACAAGCGAATGTCCCTACAGGCCACCTTGTCAAGAAAGATGAAGATATCTTCCATCTTAATCTGTGCCTACAGGTCTTGGCGAAGGTGGACTGAGCCCTGAGGGAAAAGGACTGGGGAGAGAGGCTTGTGTGGTTGTGAGGGTACTTGAGTGTACAGACATCAGGGTGTGTGAGATGGGAGTGGCCTCTCTGCAGAAGCCAGGGGTGGAAGGGCCCTTGACCCCGTCACACCCTCCTGCCTGAGGAACCTGTTAAGCCTCTGCGGGTGCCAGGGTTGCTTCTGCAACCTCATGGAAAGCTATCTGCCAGTGAACAGAGAGAACTTCTCCTGAGGACTTGTAAACCGCTTTCAGGATGGTGACCTTCCTTGCTGCTGTTTTATTGCCCTCTTATGACAATTTATGAAGGGCAAGAGAGACGACAGTGTTAGAAGCAACCCCCAGCCAGGCCTGGGGTCGCACACCTATAATCCCAGCACTCCAAGGCAGAGCTCTGTGAGTTCAAGGCCAGCTTGGTCTCCTAGTGAGTTCCAGGACAGTCAGGGCTGTGTAGAGAGACACCTGCCCTCCCCCCAGACACTCAGAAGTTTCTCACTCAGTATCCAGAAGCAAAAGGGAGCTATATAGGGTGGGGCATAAGCATTAGAAAGACTGGTACTCACCCCAGGGCAGAGTTTTGACTCTCATGATACATTTCTTTTTTTTTTTTAATATTTTTTAAAATATTTATTTATTTATTTATTTGTTATGTATACAATATCCTGTCTGTATGCCTGAAGGCCAGAAGAGGGCACCAGATCTCATTACAGATGGTTGTGAGCCACCATGTGGTTGCTGGGAATTGAACTCAGGACCTTCGGAAGAGCAGGCAACGCTCTTAACCACTGAGCCATCTCTCCAGCCCTCATGATACATTTCTTAATTTCTGGAGGCATTTAAAATTTTTTAAATTACATTTATGGATTTGTGTGTTTACGTATGTAGGCAAGTGCATGCCACAGCATTTGTGTGGAGGTCAGAGGGCGATTTGTAGAAATCAGTTCTCTCCTTCTATTATGTGGGCCCTGGGGATTGAACCCTGGTCGTCTCAGATTTGGCAGCAGTCGCCTTTAGCTGTGGACCCATCTTACTGGCCCTGGAGACATTGGTTGTCCCCACGGAGGGAGCTGATGCTACTGCTGGCTGCCGGGCAGAGCAGAGGCAGAGCAGGGGCGGAGCAGGGGCGGAGCAGGGGTGCATTCTGTATAGAACAGGACGGCCTTGAGGAACCTGCCTCTAATGTCAAAGGCAGAGGGAGTCCCAGGGAGTGGGGAGGGGGTTGGACTTCGGCATCAGGAAGGAGCCTGGAGTGCCTGTAGGGACACAGGTGCCTGTTTCCAGTTTTCCTGAGATCTACATAACAGTGGCCTTGCTAGATCTCAGGATAAGTTGGTGTTGTGACTTGCTCTTAGTTTTATGTATTTGAGATAGCGTGTCCCAGGTGGGCTAGCCTTCAGCTCACCTTAGCTGAGAATGACCTTCAACTTTCAACTCCTCATCCTCTTGCCTCCACCTCTCCCTTACTGGCAAGATGGGTGTCCACCTCATGCCTGGCACTGTGTTCTTTTTCCGTTTTTGTTTTGTTAGGCAGGGTCTCTCTATGTAGTCCTAGGTGTCCTGGACCAGGTTGGCCTCGAACTCACAGATTCACCAGCTTCTGCCCGTGTCACCAATCCCGGCTTTGCACACCATTCTTTTTATGGACCCACTCCATACTGTCTTCCTCAGCATTTGCTCAGTTAGTTAACTTCCCAGCAGCAGCAGGCACCGCCCCTCCCCCACACTTGTTGTTTTGCCCCATTGCTATAAGGAACCGACTGAGCCAAGTGTCAAGAAGCGGTTGGTTTGGGCTCAACATATTGAAGATTCCAGCCCAACATCAAGTGTCCCACTTGCTTTGTCAGCATATAGCATATTGAAGGTTCGGGTCTGACGTCGAGTGTCCCTGTTGTTGCAGGCCTTACTTTGGTTTATTCTCCTACTGTACAGCTTAAGTTGACCTTGAACTCACAGTCCTTGAGGCAGAGTGAGGTAAAGTATTTGTCAAGTCAGCACCCATAGAAACAAGCCTGGTTGCCATGGCACCCACCTTACCTCCAGCAGGTGGGAGCATGGGGTGGGATTTGTAGGGCAAGCTGGTTGGCTAGAAGCTCTAGGTTCTCTATACAAGGTGGAGTGTATAGGCTCAGTATATAAGGTGGAGAGCAATGTGTGTCAGCCTCAGGGCTTCATGTGTACCCGGGCACACGTCATCACATGCACACACACGTGCCAAAATCAGTCCTTTGCTTTCAGCTTCTCCCGCACATGCATTGCAGGCATCTGGGTGTTTTAGAATTACATTTGTTTACCTGCGAGTGTGTGTGTACACACATGGAGGTCAGAGGAAGTCGGTAGATGGTGTCTGTTCTCTCCTTCCACCATGTGGGTTTGGGGACTTGAACTCACCTTATCAGACTTGATGGTGAGCAACTTTTCTTGATGAGTTGTCTTGCCAGCCCAAATTTTTAAAAAAAATCGATGAAGTCAAGTTTATCAATTTTTAATGTCGCTCACACCTTTGAACCATATCTA